GTCAAGATGGTGGCATGGATTTAATCACAAACAATCACAAAGAAGATACTTTTGGGTCTTTTTAGGCCTTTATTAGGACAGATAAAGACATGAAACGAGGGTAAGAAAGAGAGGGCCGCAGGTTGAGCTACTACACGCTCCTATGTTTGAATTTTATAACAATATTTGCTTTGACAAAACCCCCAAATTAAGATATTTTAACTCAAAAACATTATCGTGTCCCATTAGTAAAGAATTGAATAGAAATATCTAAAGTTATTGTTACATCTATTTGTATTTTTCATTGAACTTGAGCTTAAAATGTGAACCATAACATATCTTTAAATTAATTATCTCAATAAATACATTCAATCTGACAGCATTTGACACCAAACTGGAGCAACCAGGCATCTATTAGGGCTGGCAGCTGCCACCTTGTGCCACCCCTCTGGACCCGCCCCTGCCTGTGTGTGTGTGTGTGTGTGTGTGTGTGTGTGTGTGTGTGTGTGTGTGTGTGTGTGTGAGTGTGTGGACACATATGAGGGAGGTGTTGCCAGGATTGAGATTTTCAGGATGACAGGCATGCACTGCGTCCGAGCCAATGGTGGCGGAGAGATAGTGCAGGAGACGGAAGCTGGAGGGTCTCTTGCTTTGTTTTTTGTTTTTTGACGGCCCCTCCAGAGCTGCAGCAGAGTTTGGGAGGGAAAGAGCTCGACTCTTAATGACTGTAAAGACCAATTAAAGCTGAAAGGTGGAAGAACACGTTTTTAACCTTTTAATTTGGTCTTGATTGTTGTTACATGCTGTCCTGTATGTCTGTCACCATGGCAACGCCCCCTTTTAATCTTAGTGGAATCTGCTTGATTAATTACAAATAAAAACAATAGTGATTTTAATAATTTAGTCATTAATAGCACATTTTTGTAGCTCTGCTGTGTGATATTTTAACCCCCAATCTCTGACTCCTTAATACTCACAATAATGCAGTATAAATATGTTCTCTTTAAGAATATTCAACCTCTTCCTGCTGCTGGTCAACTCATTAAAACCTCAAAGAATTTCACTTTAAATGTCTCCAAAGACACCAAATATGTTGAGATTAGTGCTGTCAAACGATTAAAATATTTAATCGCGATTAATCGCACATTTTTATCCATTCTAAATGTCCCTTGATTTCTTTTTGTCCCATTATTTTTTCACATTTTAATGCTCTTATCAACATGGAAAAGTGGATCGGCTTGCTTTGTGCAAATGTTGTTTTTATTGAAAAATCATCCATTGTCGCCTGGCTTTGACAAGTCATCAAGTGGTATTTCAGACTGGACGTGCTGCGATGATAGCTCAGTTCACAACGACAAAACACACAGATCACTTTGGTCTTGTCAATGGAACCATTTGGCAAACTTTCCATTCAGAATATTATTGGCATCCAAGCATAAAATATGTATATATGTCAGACAATGTGAACTTAAAGGTCACATTCAATTAAACTGTTAAAGGTGTGGCAGTTTAAAGAAAGCTTGTTTATCTTATTTTTCATGTTGTTAAATGACAAGTTTGAACTTTACCTTGAACCTGCAGGTCTTTATAGCGAGGAATGTGTACCATTATAAATATATATGTGAGAGCAGGTCTGTTTTTATCAACCATCCATCCTGACATTGGGCGAGAGGCGGGGTACACCCTAGTCAGTTCATCACAGGGTTAACACATAGAGACAACCATTCACACTCACATTCACACCCACCGCTAGTTTAGAGCCACCAGTTAACCTGCATGACTGTGGGAGGAAACACGGTGAGAAACCAGCCGTCACTCCCCGGCCACTAAAAGGTCCCAGACCGCCGGTGGGTTCGAATCCGCGACCTTGTTGGTATGTGGTACATGTTGCATTAGTGGAACACTTTAATTAAAATGTTTATTATACAGTATGAAATAAACGTTTGTTAAATCACAAAAATATTCAAAACAAACAAACAAAAATATATACTTTTAATATACTTTTTCTATTTGTCAGCCAATCAAATCGTTAATATTGGATCACGTGACCTCAACGTGAATCACGTCAGGATGGCCGAGCGGTCTAAGGCGCTGCGTTCAGGTCGCAGTCTCCTCTGGAGGCGTGGGTTCGAATCCCACTTCTGACAGACACCTTTTTCGAGGCACTGTTTAAAATACGCATTAAAATGTACAGGGGACACCTCGTAATCCGCTACTCTCTTATTTTAATTTTAATTTTTTGGGATAATCCACAAAAAAAAAAAGTTTTTTATTAACAAGAGGGTAGTTGTTAAAGTAAAGAATATCAGCACATACAGAATGAAATACAGAAAAAAACATGATCATAAAATTAAAGGTGCACAAATGCACAAATACAAACATGCTGTTGACATGTGGCTCTGCAGTAATCAGTCACTTCCTGCTCACAACTTCCGCACTTTAGTAAAACAGAGTATTTTAGGATCTGAGACTTTTATTATGAAGAAATATATTTATTCATCAGCAATATACAAACATGTAATAAATGGTTTATAACACTATAATGAAGTTGTATGCAGCTATAAGATATTTTAAGTGTAATTTAGAGTGTTTGTCAGTTATTATAATGTCAACAAGGCATTTTAATATTATCATTACTGTGTTTTACTGTATTATCATTTATTATCTGTTTATAAACCAGCCTCCAACCAATGGTTGCCCACAGGAGGAGCTATGGTTGTTGCCTTATAACTGTAAGATGAGATAATTGTGATATTAATAGCAAAAGCCAGAATATGTTTGATTATAATTAAATCAAAAACAGTAAATTACAGAAATAACACTACAGAAGATATACTATAGCATCCATTTAGTGTTGGAGAGTGTCATGAAGGCCAAATGCTCGCTAAGCAAGCCTTATTTAGTCTTTGTGTTGACTTTGTGTCGTGAATCCTGTTGGCTTTTCTAATCTGTCTCCATTTAACCAGAATTTAAAAGACTCAGTTTTAATGAGGCACGTTTTTTTTTTTTTTTCTGACAATGTCGCCCACTGAAAGAAACACCAGACAACGGCTAATGTTAAGTGACAATTTCACCTTTATTAACATGGTGAAGAATCATTAGTAAAGGTCAGGGTGACGAGCTGGAGGAGGTTTTGGTGCTCAGGTGGTGCCTGTAAAGAGAGCAACACACTGAGAGAGAAAAGACTCATTAAATCACAAGGACGTCACTGCAGCTCTTTACTGTTCAGCTGTACAGGCCAATCTGTGTGTATGTTGTAGATGATTTAAAACCCCCCAAAAACTGTATGAGGTCTTTAGATTATCTCTTTTCCCAGGAATTATATATATATATATAAAAAAAAAAAGAATATATATATATTTATTTATTTATATTTTTGGTTCCCATGGCAGGTACATATATATATATATTATATAAAATGTAGCCAATAAGGATGTCATTACACATTGGCAAGAAAGCTGGGAATAATTTGTTATGGAGATTACCTAAAGCAGCCCATGGACATTTTAATGGACGTTTTAATAATCTGTGTGAAGTTATTCCACAAGTTAAAACCTTGGAACATTATTAGATTCTTCCATTAAAGCTGCTACAAGGAACCTTTATTTTATGGTGATTCTGGCGGCCCCTGTGGACAAAAGCGGTAGTGTTTCTACCACCTCGTTTCATTGATTTCAAGGGGAATCTGACTGAATCCGACCCAGTGGCAGACATAAAGAAGAACTATAGAAACAGCCAATATTCTCACTAATGGTCTTATTTGTTTATGGGTCATATAGAGGCATCAGTATTAAACTTAACCAATTAAAAGCTCTTTGTAGTTTGTTTAATTTATTTATTTTGGTTGTATATTTTATAAAAAGGATTTAACTGTGACTAATATGCATCTGCTGGAAAGTACTTCCAACTTACCTTTTATTGCTCTTAGGACTTAGAAGTTAGTTTACAGAAGAAAAAAAGTATTTAAAGGCAGTTTAAAGTTCAAGTTTAAATCAGGCAATAATCTACTTTTTAATTTTACTGTCAACTTATCCTATTAAAAGATCCTAAGAACGTAAAACATTATACCAATGAGTTTGTGTATCTTAAGTGGTTTAGACCACCATTGTTTAAAAACTATTAAAATCCAAACCTCTCTACTAGAAATACACTTAAATTCAATTCACTTGCAACAGAAAATATATTTTGAAGGATATTTAATGCCAGACAAATTATTCTATGTATTACTGAACGTAGGTGTATAATCTTAAATTGTTGTTTGCCTATAATTTACCACATAAATGCAAACTCTGGTCATAATCCACCTCAGTGGATCTAGTTTAGTTAAGTTTTAGTAAATTATATTTGTGAGCCCTTTTTAAAAGATTAAAGTCTTTAGTAGGAACCAGGATTTGTTGAAAAATGCTGAATAACACAAATTTTATCCTTTAAGAAACTGTCCTAAATGCGAGTCGTACTTAACCCCTGACCCAGTCTGCTCCTAGAAATAAACTCCTGAAAGGCAGGTGAATAAATAAAAAAAAGTTTTTCAATTATTCATAGTGGAGGAATGTGTGTCATCAACATCATCTCCTGAATTATCACCCAGAATTTGGTTCCCATGGCAGGTCTGATGTTTCAGAGGTCGTGAACTCTGAGCACAGATGCTAATAGAGGAATAAAAGCAGCTTTGCCTTTGCTCCGGCTGCTTGAGTGACATTGATCTTGCAGCAGGGAGACAGTGTCGTCCCTTAGAGACGACATGCATGGTCAGAGGGTACATTTTCCTCTTTTCAGTGTATAAAGAGGGGTAAAAGTTCAGACACCTCATCCTCCATCTTAGTTGTAACATCAAAAGCAAAATTTAACAAACACAATCAAAAGTTACGTAAAAAAATGCATCTTATTAGTGATCAGAAATACATAAACGCTCTTGTATTAGTCTGTAAACCCACATTAAACTGTGATGATTAAGATGTGTTTTTTTTTGGATAAAGTTCCTCTTTTTTAAATTGTGGCAGTGGGGGAGGGTTTAAGCAGAAATTCCCACTTGCTTCCTCCTTAATAAGGCGACTGCTGCTCTAACAGAAAACAGGTTTTTGTTTGTGCTGGAATGTGACGCTTAATTTCGTTTACCAAGGAACTAAAAACGTGAAAACTGTGCGGAGAGCAGGATGTGGGAGCAAAGTGAGGACAGTGCAGCGACAGGTAAGACTTTATAATGTGGATGTAAACTGGTGCTGAGATACTTACTTCAGTCACCTGATGATTATTGCAGTTTCACTAAGATTTTTCAGTATCTAAGTGATGTTATTTATTGTGGAGTAAGACCATTATGTAGTTTCAGTTGAGAAATGTGGGTTTTAAATCAATATTTGGTGTATGAAAAGTTTAGAGATTTCCTTTTTATCAACCATGAAATGTTTCTGTTTTGAGCAGTTTAGTTAGTTTTTTAAATAGTGGATGTTCTTTTCACAACTATGATTTGTGACATTTAAACTGCTTTAAGAAATAAAATAAAAACAGAGCTTGAATGAAATGTTAGCTGCAATGAAGCTCCTGCCAAGAATTACATAAGAAGATACTAATCTCACTTCTGTTAAACATGAAGCTGCAGTCAGCAGCAAGTGAGATTAGCCCAGCATAAAGACTGGGGTTTATGTGCAGGGCAGTTACTTGGTAACACGACTGCGCCAGATGGTTTGTTTCACAGAACCATCTGAGAAGTCGTCATCAGAAACTGTTTGGCAGAGGGCAACGTCCACCAATCAGATCAATGATCATATAATGTAATCAAACTCTTACTGAAGTCAGTCTGGAGAAGAATGAAAGCATCTTTTTTTTTTATCGAGAAAAGCCTTTAATGGGTCTCCTCGCTGCGCTACACCTACTAATTGTTTCCAGTCTTAATGCTAAGCTATGCTAAATTCTTGCTGGCTCCATACTTTGAAGAAATCCAAAGTATGGCTCCATACTTTGGAGAAATCTCGTGAATTCACTTTCTTACTGATGGATCGATACGGTGCTACGTTCATGTCTGTCTGGTAATGAAGCAACAGCTAGCGTCCAGTAAGCTTAACTTAGCACAAAGACAGGAAACAGACGTAAGCAGGTAGCTTTGCTCTGTGCGAAGGCAACAAAATCAAACAAGATCTAGACTAGAAATCCTAAAGCTCGCTAATTAACAGGTTTATACCTCATTTGTTTAATCCGCATTAATACAGAAGTGTAAAAACAACATAACGTGGTCTTATAGGGGGTTATGTGCTGAACTATTTCCTGGCTGGATGTAACAATGGTATCAGCGTTCTCATCTTACTCTCAGCAAGAAAGCAAATGAACTTATTTCCCGAAAGGTCAAACTACTGTTTTAGTAAAACACAAAGCTCTCAGTTTGTTGGACAAAGTGAAGTCACAGCAGGAACCCAGCTACTGTGAGAAGCCACAGAAAGTGAAGCATGTTTCTGTAGGATCCTCCTGTGATTTCACTTCCTGTATTTCTCTCGTGAACCTCCTTCACACTGGCCTGTGAAGTTCCTCTTGTGAGTCACACTGACAGGATGTGAGGATCTTTGATTATCTCGCCTCACATTTGAGTGCGTGCTTTGTTTTCTGTTGCCACACTCTGACTGACAGTCCAACTGTTGCGTGAAGATAAAGTGATTTTCTTCTCCCCACAGAGTCTGACGGAGAGAGTGATTTATCTTTCGAAGATGAGGGAGACATTCAGGTATCACCGTTAGTGACATGCTGTAAATTACTGGTTAATTAATTCCACTTTCTAATGCGCATTAAAGACAGTCAACATGGGAGGAAACACTTATTATCTTACTCAAGCTAATGTACTGTCACCTTGTGGAAGTGAAAAGACTGGTTGAAAAAAAAACATATTTTAATCAGATTATTACATTGAAGTAAAAAGTAAGAAAATAATGAAAAAATAAAAAAACATGATTACATTAACAAGGATAACTTTTTGATGATGATTTTGGTGCCTCCGCCAGCTGATAATAGCATCAAATGTGAATAAAATAAAATCAAATACATCAATTTGTTGTTACCTGATTGATCTATTTTCTCCTGTTTTGCTTGTTTTTTGTGTGTTGATGCTGATTGATAGTGTGAGATCTTGGAGCTGCAGAGGGATGAAGCCAATCAGAGACTGGCTGAATTGGAGGAAGGTGAAAATCTTTTATTAATTTTCATTAACAGCTTGTCCCGATTCAGCATTATAAGAGGGGGTGGAGATTATCCCAGTATGCATCACAGAGCAGATACACTCAAAGTCACATCAATAGGCAATATAAAGGAAAGAAGGATAAAACTAATTTCAGACAGAAAAGGGTTTAAATAATCTTACTGAATTAAAGTTTCAGGTTTATTCTGTGAAATTTGATTCAAATCTCTCTCTTCAGGTCTCCTCTCCTCTCCTGTGAGATGATTAACAACTATCTTTCCTTCATTTTCAGTCTCCAATCAGCTCCTGAAAGAGATTAATGTATTGGAAATCCAGTTCCAAATTGAACGTTCCTGCAGGGAGAATGCTGAGGCGCTGGCTGTCAAAGTATGTGTTTTTACCACTCCTTTCCTTCTTCTTTCCTTATGTCCTTTTGTGGCCCTTTCCCTTATGTGTTTTTACCACTCCTTTCCTTCTTCTTTCCTTATGTCCTTTTGTGGCCCTTTCCCTTATGTCCTTTCCTTTCCTTTTCTTCCCTCTCCTGACATGTCAACTTAAGAAGCAGTGTATGTACATCAAATGATCTCCCACCTCACCTAGGTGACCAAAGAGAACAAAGTCCTGAAGAGGACGAGCCAGATGCTGATGCCGCTCATCCCCGAGCTGCCTGAAAACTTGTCTGCTGTGACCTTTGACCCAGAGGGTGACCAGGTGGTTAACGGTGACGTGGTTGATCTTGGTGAGGACAGCAATGAGGGGACGCTGCTGCTGGAGAGTCAAGCCAAGATCGCAGGTGAATTCACAAGACTAAAAATCAGACGTCTAACTGGAGCCAAGAACAACTAATAATAATCAGCAGTGTACATTATAAGGAATATATGAAGCAATGATAACCTTAAAAGAAAAATCATGGAGTCATGTATAAAGTGCTGAGGTAACATAATAAAATGCTTTAATGCTTTGGGATTTTGGGAAATGGATTATTTTTCTATAACTCATCATAAATCTCTTCCTGTCTGTGTGTCAGAGCTGCAGACGTCAGTGGACGGTCTGCTGGCTGAGAAGCTGCAGCTGGAGAAACAAGTGGAAGATCTGACCAAAGAACAGGTGCAACTCAGAGAGCAGGTACATTACTGTATGTGTGTGTGTGTGTGTGTGTGTGTGTGTGTGTGTAGGGTATCACAGATGTTTTTCTCTCAGCTAGCTCTGGAGGTCGAGGAGAAAGAGGCCATACTGAGGAAAATAAGCAAACAGAGCAGGACCATTAATAAAATCAAACGAGGTGAGTCCTCATCACATACAAATAATTATTATTTTAATTATTGATGAGTCTCTTATCTTAGTTTTTATCTATACAATTTTTTAATCAAATAATTAATTCATTATTTAATCTAGGAAATGTTAAAAATTGTGAAAAATGTAATTTCACCTAAATTACAAAAAACACCAAAACAACTAGTGATGTCCAGCCATACAAACAGGTTACAAGCAGATTTCTGCTGCCACTCTAATACAATGGAGGTGTTTATTGTTACTGTAGAGTTTCATATAAAACAGAGAAAAGCAGCAAATTCTCATAATTAAGTGACTTGAGTGTGTGAATATTTGACATTTTCTGCTTCATAAAATGTGTTTAATCTTCTGCAGGTTGACTAATTTATTAAGCAATGAATCATTTCAGTGCTACATTTCATTTTCACTTCAAAAACATAACGAAAGTCACAAATACCATCGTAAATAGCTCTTAATTTGTGTCTGTGTGTGTGTGTGTGTTTTTGTGTGTATGAATACATGCACAGTCTCCCAGCTTGTCACAGAGGAGTTCACAGAGATGTCTCAGAAGCTGGAGCTGGAGCAGGGCCTCCGGCAGCACGCTGAAGTCTTCGCCCACCAGGTGTGAGCACGTGGCATGTGTGTGTGTGTCTGTGTGTGTACGTGTGTATTTTTTTTTGCACGGCACAAAACATTTTGTCATATATTCACACCTATAGATAGTGAGGGTGACAGGTCGTGCCACAGGAAGCGAGCAGGAGTGTTGGCGCTGACCTTCGGGCAGCTACGGCGAACACACGGACACTCTCTGGAAAGGGGGGAGGAAAGACACACACACACACACACACACACACACACACACACACACACACTTCTTGCTGTCAGGGTGCAGCTGATGTGGCGGGACAGGAGAAGGGGTCTCCATTCTCTGTTTTCACACCCATGACAATTTGGTCGAATCCGGGCTCTCTGTGTGTGGCGAGGCGTTCACACACACAACACAAAAGCAGACACACTTGTACACATGCGGGAGAAAACACCAATTCTTTTAAAATCCACATACCCAAACACACACAGACACACACACATACACACACACACACACACACACACACAGTTTTTTTGCTGCCCCAGCTGCTCCTATAATGAAGGCCTTTTCTTTCAAAAAACATCTCTCTGTTCCCTTCCCTTCCCATTTAGCCCCCCCTTCCCCATAATTAGTGGTCATCACTGCTGCTGAAGGAGAATAGTGGTCTTTAAGCACAACCTGTCTTTGCCTGACACCTTTATGTTTTCCCGAGCATATAGCAATTGTCGCCTTTGTGCACGTTGTCCTCCATTTACCGGACAGGCGCACAATGGGCTTCCTTGCAGGGGTCCTTACCTGTGAAAAGGACCCCCAACTGTTCACACAATTCAGCCCCTTTACTCTCAATTCATGGTAAAAGACCCCCCTGCGCTGAATGCCTCTTGTATGCACTACTATTTGTCTGTTTTCATGTGTTTTGAAAACACCAACCATTCACACCTCTCCTCTGTGATGCATGGTGGTATAATGATGCAGGGTCTCAAACAGGAAACAATTTGGAGGTTTTGTGTGTGTGTGTGTGTGTGTGTGTGTGTGTGCTGTGTGTCTTTGTCTCTTTGTGTAGCTGTGTGTGGTTGGGATCTCTGTGTTTGTATGTATGAAATAATTGTGCTAATTGCTGTGTGAAAATTGCTTTCTGCTTAAGGGAGACCAGAGATTAGAGCGGTGTAATTTGCAGCGTGGAGCCTCGTGCTGCATGCGCTGATACAGAGCTCACCAAACCTGCTGCTGCGGTTTGTCGTCACGGTGAAAACACAGAAATGAAAACTATTATTTTCCACACACTTCCTGTTCTCTGATCACGGATCTGCTCTCAAAAAGCGCCCATACAATCTGATACAGTTTAGGAATCCAATATGAGTGTCCTTTGGTGTTTTTTTTTATGGCTGATTCAGATTTTCTGGAGTCAATATATAAAAAAACGCCTGGTGGTTGAGAGAGGAACAAATATAAATAAATTCAAAATGAATAGGAAATAACATTTTCTTACTATTGGGGGGGATACATCTAACTAGTTTACCTTTGTGGACTAATAAAAATCTGATTTAATCTGTCCCTCCGGGATTTCGCAGACTTTTTGTTGGGATTGTGGTGGCCTAAAATGCCTGATTTCACAGCAGTAAAAAAAAATTGCGATGCATATGGCAACATTTTCCGGCTTTTTTGCAATTAAATTGCGAGAGCAAGTGAAAATTGCATATTTTATTTTGTATAGTTCATTAAAAATTGAAGACTACTTCTACCAGTGAGAATAAAACTGTAGTTTGGTGACATATGGCTCGATGCTTTGCGTGGCGGACTGCTGTGATTGGTGAAACTACAGGGAAACTACAATGATTGGTCAAATTTGCAGAAAAGTTGTTGTAATTGACAACAAATCACTCGCAACATCGCAGCTTCCTAAAGGGACTTTCCAAACCGATCAATACCCACGTTTTAACTCCATATAAGGTATTAAACATTGCACAAGCTCACGCAAAGAGCAACAGGTTTGTTTATCGTATTCTGATCATTTATGACCTCTAAACCACGCTCATTAACAATAGCTGGTGTATTTATTTGTCACACCAGAAAGACGAAAGAATCACATTTCACCAGTGAATCAAGGCAAAGTTTGACATTTTCCATTTTTCAACACAAACCACTTATCACGATGTTATAGAAATGATGCTTTGTCTCAGAGCTAAATCATCCTGTTTGCATTGTTACTATTCATCAGTGAAGCCGATGACTAATTCTAACAAGGCTTCCAAGTCTTTGTTCAGTCAAACACTGGTTTGAAAACATTTTGTCTGCCTTCTGACAACCTCCTGGGGGAGAAAATTAACAAGCAGCCATTCAGATCTCACTTTATTCTTCCTCTTAATTGTAGTTCATTGTCACAAATGTATTTTCTTTTTCCATTTTTGTAGAAGCACATGATCATGAAGATGTGTTTAAGATGTCAGGAGGTGAGGCTAGATTTGGTTTTTGTCTTGTCAGATGATAGTGCAGCAGAAAGAGGCCCAGAGTCCGAGCGTGTTGCTGATGCCGAGCTCAGAGACCGGCCTGCAGCTGCAGCAGGCGCTGGAGCAAATCTCCACCATCAGCACAGCCCTGTGTGATATACAGCGCACCTACCAGGACCAGGTGTGTTGTTTAAAAGATTTTTAAAAAAGGGTATCTACTACTGTCTATTCATGCTCGTCATCATCGTCCCCTGTTTCTTTCATCCCTGTGTGCAGGTGAAACAGAGTCAGAGCGTCGTGGAAGAGAGCAGCGTCCTCTCTGAGCTGCAGAACCTGAAAGAGCAGCTGGAGAAGAGTGAGGAGGAGAGGAAGGCCCTAGAAGATAAGCTGTCTGAGGCTAACGGCACTGTCACACAGCTCCAGGAGGAAGGTAGCTGCTAGTGGAGAAATGTTTCTTAGCAAACATGCCTAACAAAAGCAATAACTGAATGTTGAAGCCAAAGTGGAGGTGCCTTACGATTCTCAATGATTCTCAAGATTATTGCCAATTCATTTTCTGTTAATTGACTAATTGATTAATTCTTTCAGCTCTAGTTCTTGTATAAACTGTTAATTGATAACAAAGTCAGATTAAATATCAATTGAATGGTTAAATAATTAATGAGCAGTCAGATAATGACAGTGGAGAAAAGAAGTATAAAGTGGCATAACATGGAAATGAAGTACAAGTACTTCAGTAAATGTACTTTCGTTTCATTTCACCGCTGATCGATGACATTTCTTCATCCCTCTGACTCTGAATCCAACATTATTTGTACATTTTATAAGTAACAATGTACTGATGATCAAAAGTAATGTTTTTGTATCTTCCTCTGTAGTGAAAAAGCTCCAGGATACACTGACCAAGGAAAGTAAAACTGATGAACCAGAGGAGAAATCCACACCTGCTCCTCCTCCTCCTCTTCTTCCTCCTCCTCCTCCTCCTCCTCCTCCACCTCCTCCACCTCCCACTACCTAGTATGTTCTTTCTATCTACCATTAAAATGATGGGGAGTTTCAGCAGACAATGATAGCTAAAATGATTCAGAGGCTTTTAACACTCAACAACAAAAAAATGATTCTTCACCAAGTATGACAATTTGAACCTTGTGACTCTCTCTCTCTCTCTCTCTCTCTCTCTCTCTCTCTCTCTCTCTCTCTCTCTCTCTCCCTCGCTCTCTCTAGTTCCTTTCCTGATTTCCTGAGAAGCAGGAGGAAAGATAGAGCCAGCGACGCCGGTCAAAACCGTGAGTTTCACACTTTCATTAAAACTGCAACAAGGTCACAGGAAACCTATTTTTCGCCCTGATGCAGAGATTTATCCGGAAGGTGAAAACTCTTACCAGCAATTGTTTGACTTAACACACTCAACATTAGTGCGTTTATCTCAGAGTGACCTGTCTCCTTATTTCCTCTTCCCCCCAAAATCAGGAGAAGCTCCCTCACATCGGTGTCTTCCCAGTGTTGCATCTTAAACAATATTAAGAACAAAAACACTGTTGCACACTCATCCTGTAGACTGGAAAAAAACAAAAATTACGTAGAACTTGCATCAACATTGCACCAGAAATTAGCTAAAATTTGTGTCCACCAGAGATTCATTTGACTAAGGAATGAATGTTGATTTTCCCATTGACAACAAAAGCCAGATGTTAGTGGGTATGAGATGAGCGTGTACACTATTATCTGCGACTGTTCAACCAACTAAAGTATCTGTATTCGTATATTAGTATTCGGGATGGGTGGCGCTCAAACTGGAAGTGGGTGCGATTAAGCAGAAGTTGTTCATTCAAGCTTGAAATTGATATTGATCAAAAGTTTCTATATTTATTAGAAAACTATTTAAACAATGGAGCTTCAGAGCAACGTTTTTGATCACAAGAGTAAGAGAACTATTTACAAAACAAGGATTTTTAATAAAAGTTTAGTATATTTACGAGTCCAGATATTGACATATTTTACTCGTTTGATACTCGTACATTATCTGTCCTGGATCCTCGCTCAGTCCTGGCTCTTATGGTTTGAAACAGTAAATATTTTGATCCATTGTTTCTACTCTTTAAGAACCAGCACCCCTGTTGAACATGAAGGCGAAAGCGGTGGATGAAATGATGGAGAGAATAAAGAAAGGCATCATCTTGAGGCCCATGAAGAGAATCCAGGTGCGCAAATTGTATTCGCAGATTAATATTAATAAATAATAAACTGTGATAACTAATATATACCTTTGCTCACAGGAGGATGACAGCTCGTGGAAGGTCAGTTATCCTCATATTCGTTTGTTACTTATTATCTTTATTATAAAATTCCCAAATATTCCCCATCTTCAGATTAAATCTTAAATGTTCCCACAGGACCAGAGGAGTGAAAACAGAAAATCAGCCATCCTGGAGTTGAAAGGGATGCTGGTAATGTACTTAAACTTGCTTTTGTGTCAAGAAGCCAAAACCTTGAATGATAAATGACAGTTTTTAAAGCATCTTTAACCATTCCGCACACCAGGACAACATAAAACACCAGCCTCACCGCAGAATACCATCCAGGAGTGGATTTGGCCGACATGTCGGGGACGCAGAGCTCCTGCAGGTTCTCCAGAGGAGGAGGAGAGCGATGGGAGAGAACTCCTCAACACAAACACAGGGTACGCTGTCCTGTCACTCCTCTATGATCACAAGGATGCTACACTGTGTCTGTGTCTGAGGCTATTGTCTATATTAATGGTCTGTGTTGGGCCATATGCTGCAGCACAACTGAATTAGTAAATCTTATGTCTTGAGGGAATAAACCCACATTAGGATCGCAATCATGGTTTACTATATTGTGCATAACACAATATTACAGATAGCTGTACTTTAGGAAACTTAAGGGCCTATAATACCCTTTAGAGTGTGTTTGAGACCAGTGAGAAGCAGTGAGACTTCCTGGTAAAATAATAAAGGTAAAGGTGATAAGTTTTTCAATACTAAAGCTGTCAGAAATGATGAGACATTTTAATTAGAACTTGGTTGATAAAAGAGAAATTTCAATCTACATACGACTGTTTTGTGGTCTTGGACAGCACATTTTGTCATATGTCACTTCTCCTGCACATTATCACACTCGCACACCTGGCGTTTAACCACGCCTGTAGCTCATGCTGTAGCTGCCAGTATAGTTCCTCAAAGGATGCTGATTGGTTTGGACTCCTATCTTCAGTATTTATAATCAGAACAAAGTGCTTTATCATATCATTTTGTTCAGCTGTTATCATTTAGTTTTTCATTTTTTGGGATTTGTGCCTAACCTGAGGTTGCGGTCATCTCTTGGTCAGACCCCCAGCCAGGTCCACAGTGTGTCCCAGCAGCAGGAGATGTTCCCTGGGCAAGCGAGAGCGGCAGCGCCCCTGTGCTCCGGAGGCTGAAACAGAACCGAGAGAAGAGAGACTCTCGCATCAGAGCATCTGCACTGATCATCAACCAGGACAACTGAGAGAAGTTACAGGAAGAAATACAGTTTTTAAACTTCACTGTAGTCAAAGTGTCATTGCTGTTTTGTATGAGGATGTACTGAATATGAGTTTGTTGAGCAAACTGCACCTGCAATACTTTTTTTTTGTCAGTGATTTTTTGAATATCACTTTTCTTAGACTTTATATTGACTATATTTTACTATATAAGTGTTGAATTAATACATGAAAACATTGCTTTATGATAAAATGTCAGTGAACTTGAGCTTTATTCACCTCAGGATCAAATAATGTCAGAAAACAGTTCTTAATGTCTGTTTTATTCTCCTGGAAGTACCAGACTGGAGGCCTACATTGCAAACAAACATCAAATCCCACATTCAGGTAAAGAAAAACAATAACAAAGCATTTAAAATGCCATTTAACCCAGATCTGCTTCAAAAAGCCAGAACTTGTTGCGTGTGAAAGGAAATGAAACTCATTCAGTCGTGTTTGATGTCCATCATCGTTCTTTTTTCGGTGCCTCGGTTTTAGATGATCTAAGTGCAAGTTACAGGATTTTTTATGCTACACAATATAGATGAAGGTAGCCTGCACCATAAAAGAAACCCACTTAGGTTATATGAATACCCTTGCCCACTTCTCTTCCAAGGTGTCTGTCTCTTAAAGCGCGATCCAGCAGAAAAGATGGAGGCTGCCATTTATTTAGGCACATTAAGGCTCTCACACCCAGAGCCCAGAGGTGTTGTTGAGATAAGAGCCTCAGGTGATCTGTGTCTCTTCCTCCTGAAAGTATCTTTATATGCGCAAGGTCGCCTTTTGTTTTCTCACCTCCACAGAGATATTGTAAATATGTGCGCTTGCATGCATGAATGAACACATAGCCTATCACCACGCTATGTGCCTTTGTTAAAAGCATTTGAAAAGAGGATAAGGTTACTCTCACCTTTGACTCTGACACCATTTTAGTTTCTTCACACTGTTTCACATTATATATTTACTTCATTTAGCTCTTTTTACTAGAAGGTCTAGGTCTTTTCACTCTCCGGCATACATTTTTTATTGTTTTTGCCTCTTCAATCTCAAAGGTGTTAGCTTTTGAGACGCAGTAATGTATTCTGCCTCCTCCGTGTTATTGAATCAATGCACATGAAAGCCAGTGTGTGTGTGTGTGTGTGTGTGTGTGTGTGTGTGTGTGTGTGTGTGTGTGTGTGTGTGTGTGCGAGAGAGAGCAAGAGCTAGAGACTTACAGATAATGAACGACAGACAGGAGGTTATGAAAGTGATATATTCAAGGATAGTGATACCAAGGATGTGTTAACAAGAGACAACAATGTAGAATTACATGCTTCTCTCTTATTTGATAGCTTTCCATTGACCTCCATGGAACAGATGAGGGTGTGATCATACACACTGCCGTGAATGAAAGACTACTTTGATCTGAGTGGACTGTGGCTATAATATTGTGCTCTCATCATATTAAAGCTACGATTCCTGAAAAGGTTCCAGAGAAACCGGCTTAGTTTATAAAAGAAGACAGAGATGTGGCAGATGTATGGGCGTACGACACTCTGCAGCAAGATGCTTCAAACAAATTACATCATTTCATATAATAAGTCTATAAGAGGAGTCATTGAGTTAGTTAGAGTGCTGGCTATGACTATACAAATACCGTGGGAGCTCATAAAAGGTTGTTCAGTGAGAGCTTTGACTGCACAAGTCTCCTTGACAATGAACTAGAGGCAGGAATGAGACAGTTAAGTGGTGTTTTAATAATATCATATAAAGAAAATTAATACGTTTGGGACACACTGAGCATGAAAGTGGAAACTCAACTCAAACGTATACCTATAATGTTTTTGTGTTTGACCTTTAATAACTTTAGGAAGCTTTTTATACACAGGAAATGTAAATTATTTCTGAGTTTTATTCCTTTCAGTCGACCTCTTGGTTCAACTTTGATCTTTATATATTGATGTGAAGTGGCAAACCCAACATTATAGGCTGTGGATATGGAACCGCCAGTGATGTACTCTGTACTGTTTGAGGCACAGGGGCGGAAAAAAATAAACCGGGGACCGGCACACAGAAAATTGCGATGCGTTTATGGTGAAACAGCTTAGTCAGGGTTAGGATTAGCACCCTAGAGGACACTTAACGAAGGTTTCTTCACTGGAAGGACGCCATAGAGAGCGGGTTTTTTTCCGAACATGGGGGCACCAGGGGGAACAGCTATTTCCTTCCCAGTGCAACATCTATATCTATATATAAATATTTTGTCTGTGTGAAATATAAAAGCCTATTTCTTTCAGGAAAATAAAAAAATAAATGTAATGCATGACAAAAATAAAAATACTATAAGTCAGTCAGGGTGCTGCCATTGTGCGTGTTGGCTACACTAAATGGATCAAAACCTTAATCAACATCATCGGTAGTTGCTGCATTTACAATATATCAGCGTGTAGAGTTCGATTCCCTCAGCTCCTCCTGTCCTCGAGACACCGAGGAGACACCGAGGAGACACTGAGGAGACACTGAACCCCAGATTGGTTGCAGATGCTCAGAGCACCTTGTCTGACTTAAAGCAACCATCCCCCCCCCCATTTAACTCACACTACAGCTTTGAGACATCAGATTTTTAACTGCCACTTCTCCTCCAAACACAGAGGGCGCTACAGACACAACAAATCTTTCCCTCCTGGAGACAAGCCCCTTCTTTCCTGCTCTCCTCAGCCTGCACCGAGACCACAAGAGAGGAGGGGGGGGAGGAACTTTGACCGGCGCTCCAGTGCTAGTTAGCAGCCACCTAGCTGTGTTTCTGTTATTATTTTATTATTAGTTTGTTGTTTCACATGCAGAGAGATGTGGTTTATTTATTTACTCAGCTGGCTGTCGCTGGTCATCCAGATATCCTTCGTCACTCTCGCGATAGGTGAGTGGAGGCTGAGAGTGCCTGCAGGTTGTTAGCCGCACTAGCTGCCGTGCTAATGCGAGCGGAAACGAGTTTAAGTTGGTGAAGTTGGACCATTTAAGTCCGGTTTCACTGAAGCTGCGACCGTGTTAAACATTAAACAATGTGTTCATGATACAGTGCAAACAGTGGCCCTGCCTCCATTGGACATACGTAGCGTGTGTTACTTTGTTCAAGTGCTGTTAGCTTTCCGACTGCAGCGAGCTACAGGCGACGAAGAATATACTTTATTTTTAAGCTTTTACAATGATAGGACTTTTATGTACCCTTAATTAAAAGTGCAGCGGTGTATTAAAGTGAGATTTTAGCACCTCGTTATATCTAAATCGTTTATTTGGTGCTCGGAAACTCTTCTACTGGATGTAATGTTTGCTAATAGGTAGCTAGCATTCAGCGTTTTCTCTCTCTCTCTCTCTCTCTGTCTCTCTCTCTCTTCAGTAAGGGTTTATCGATACACACTAATCAATCAAAAGGCCTCGTCACATACAACACAGTGGGTTGGTTGACAAAAGACAGCTACTCTAACCCTTTTTAAAACTTTGATGTGAAACTCGTCTAGGAGCTCTGTTCTGTCCACGTCATCAGTTATTTACCTGGCCAGGTAAACACCTGCTGCAGCTGGCAGGTGTGACTAACAGGCTGTGTCAGCCTGTTTCTTTAATACAAATGTATTGTTTCCTTTTATGGTCGTGCAGGAACACGGATATCAGCTCGCCACGTTTGTTATCTTGTTATCCGGCTCAATGATGTCACCATTTTATAATAAGGGAACTATTAATGGTTGTGAAATCCCCTGGATTATATTTGCACCTAGAGTATCTTACTAGTTCCTCTCCAATGGACTGTTCAATCACATACAGGCTGGAAAAAGGGCTACACAGCATATATTTTATTACTGTGTTATCACCAAATAAAGAGAGTCAACAAAAGCCAAAAGTGTTTCTCACAACGTGGCAACTCTTATTAATGATAACTGATTTGCAAAGTATTGGATATTAACCATGATTTAGAAGTTAAATACATTTATTAACCCTTAAAAGAAAGCGGGAGATTTTTACTTAGTAGCTTTCCTCCTGTTTGTTGCCTGTTCATAAGCTGCTTTGTAACATTGCAGCAGTAAGACATTTTAACTTATGACTGCTCTCACCCCTACTTTCTTACTTCCTATTATCTTCCCACCCCTCAATAGGAAATGACAAACACTAAAGATTTGTCATCACATGCTTCATTTGTTGACCCTTTCTTGTGCAATACTGCCTGATTTTAATCACAACTTTGCTTCTTTTATACCATATTTCTTTCAAACAGTGTTTTTAACATTAGTTAAATCCAACAAGCAGCAATGTTTTTTAGTTTTTTTTAAATGGCCCAATTTATTGTTTATATTTTATTTATTTATGGTGAGCTGTCCAGTGCTGAGAGGTGCAACAAAGTTGAGTGGTCTGCTACCAGACAAAAAGGAGGTCAAAAGAGCAAAACTGTTTGCTGTCGTTGCTTTTCTTCAATCTTTTTCTGTCTTTTTACAAAATGTGGATTGCCTTTGCTGGATGAAGCTCTCAGACTCTTCCATGAGCTGACATCCTTCTCAGCTCCTGGCATACATGTTTTGATTAGTTTGATTCATTGTCTGCCTCTTTTTGGTGTATCGCCTTCATTCCTGTGGGGCCTGTCTGTGTTGCCAGGGTTTTTTTATTAACCTACTTGATTGAACTGATATTATTTGGCCTGTCTGTGTTGCTTTGTATATTGGCGGTGGGGCAAGGTATTGAATACCGATTGGGTAGTGGCAGAAATGTGCCTTAGGATAAAGAAAAGAAAACTGTAAAGTACTGAAAGTTTGCCTTGAATTTGTGTTCAGATTCATACTCTAAATATCATTTAACATTTAAAATATCATTTTCATCAATATACATTTTGAGAGCTATCAAGAGATTTGTAGAAAAGCATGTTAATATTCCTCAGAACAAGGTATTGAGCGATCATTTCCCTTAAGTATAATTTTGGTAAGGGTACCAAAACTCAGGTATTGTATCGTAACTAGACTTAAAAAAAAAGTTTAAAACCATACCAAGCCTTACTGTTGACTGCAGTGTAGATAACACTATTCATGGTCTAAACTTATAATATCTCTTGTATTCTCAAACATCTCTTATACACTATTCAGATTAACAAATCAATCCTTTTGTTTTTGAACCCTAAATATTAGTTAAAAAGTGGCACATTGAGTTAATAGTTTTAAAATAGTAATTTGTGTTGATTTCCAGCACAGATAAAACAATTCTTGCTTCATGTTTTTTGTTGTTATTCCTCTTTTCCTGCTTATGACTTCACCTTTGTCTTCACCCAGCTGCTGGCCTGTACTACTTGGCAGAACTAATAGAAGAATACACAGTAGCCACCAGTCGAATAATAAAGTACATGATAATGGTGAGTAAGTGGATATAGGTTGATGTCTTTTAAAGAATATATTCTACAGCAGGAAAATACGCAGTCGTCAACTCCTGTGTCAAACGTCTGTTTTGACTGTTTGTGTGAATGTGTCCAGTTCTCGACAGGTGTGCTGGCATGTCTCTACATTTTTGAAGGCTTCCCAGTGTTGATGGTGGGAGTCGGCCTCTTCACCAACCTGGTGTACTTTGGCCTCCTGCAGACTTTCCCGTACATACTGCTGAGCTCCCCGAACTTCATCCTCTCCTGTGGTAAGTGTAACAGACTCTGGCATTAGGTTCTCGATATCAGAATCACCTAAAGAGAATAAAAAACTGAGAACCACTGGATCGATGCTTTCTGGTATTTATGTAAAACTAAAAAAAGACAGCCTCCTTTTCGATTAACTGAATGAAAAGATGAATGTATTTGACCTCCTCCAACATTGTTTCTTTCCCTTTGTTTCTCCCAGTGTTGGTGGTGGTGAACCATTATATGGCCTTCCAGTACTTTGCACAAGAGTATTATCCATTCTCAGAGGTAAATTCATTCAGATTTACTATACCATGTAAAGTCTTTGATATACTGCTTTTTTTATGATTTGGAGAAAGATTTCTGCCATTACCGTGTCTCCTATACTTGTCTTTATAATATTTGATTTGTTCCTGACTGGTATAAAGGTGCTGGCATACTTCACCATCTGCCTGTGGGTGATCCCCTTCGCCTTCTTTGTGTCACTGTCAGCGGGGGAAAATGTGCTACCGTCCACCATGCAACAAGGAGGTGAGATTTTGTCTTTCTTTTCTTCAGCATGTTGTTTATGATTGAAGCATTCGGAGCGACTAAGTGGCATTTCTGACCTAGTGGGACCCCCCCTGAGACAAAATCAAGATAACTTTCTTTATATCTCAACAAGCTCTTTGAGGAAACATAGTTTACAGTGTAATGTGAGAAAGTACACTGTGATCAAGTGACAGCGATCTCTATGTCCTTTCAAGGAACATGTGAGGTTAAGCCCATGGGGTAACAATAGTCCCACGGCTAATATCAGCCCGGCTAGCTCAGTCGGTAGAGCATGAGACTCTTAATCTCAGGGTCGTGGGTTCGAGCCCCACGTTGGGCGCACTCCCATTTTCCCTCTGTGGGATCAGTTTAGTTTATTCTATCTTTAGTATCTTCTATCTTAAGCAGTAATTATATTTATATATATATATATATATATATATTATTTTTACATCACTGCCAGCCACTTTCCAAAGCACATAATACGTTTCCAACCTAGTTCAATATAAAAGTCCACTTACAGAGACTTTGCCACCTCTAAACCTTCACAGGATAACCAGATAGATGATGGATGAATGGTATAATTAACAACTGCCCTCTTCTTTTTTTTGTTTTTAGATGACGTGGTGTCTAATTACTTCACTAAGGGCAAGAGGGGGAAGAGGTCCGGGATCCTTCTCGTGTTCTCTTTCCTCAAGGAGGCAGTGCTGCCCAGCCGACAGAAAATGTACTGAGGAGCTCAGACTCGGGGTGCAGCCTCGCCATCGGGGGTGTGCGTGTGTGTGTATGTGTCGGCGATTTAAGGGGGAAGCAGGAAGGACAAAGGAAATTTGTTTCTGGATGGAACTAAAATGAAGCAGTGGCCGAAGTGGAAGAAGAGCACACGAAGAGGACGGACCAATGAACAGAACAGAGCTTCCTGCTGGACGAGCCCACGAGTTTACACAGGCCATGTTCCTCTCTTATTTTTTTTTTTTTCCTGTCTGTCTGTACTGACAACAACATCTAATAGAGACCTCACTGAGAGGATCTTGTCTGTAGCGCAGTGCTTTCTAATTGTCACGTTGGACTCCATTTTTTAAGCTTTGGTATTAAAGTATGTACGTGCAGGGGTCTGAAATTAACAACCACCAAATACCTGTAAATTTTGACTTTGGCAGATAAATCCTTATCATTTTTCTTCTTGAGATGACATCTGCTGTCATTTGTGTGTTGTAGTTTCTCACACTTCATCTGATTCAATACACAAAGTAGCATTAGGAGACGAAATACAGATGAAGAAAGCGGGTTGAGGATAAATCAGACAGCTTAGTGGTACTTTCTGGATAAATTCTGGTGTCAGAGCTTGGATTTTGGTGTGAAGCGATCCTTGAAAGGAAACAAAAAGTGTTTTTATGTGGCAAACCAGCTGCAGGAGAAAATGCCTTCGGTCACCACAGAAGCGCTTATTAAGATTACTTTAATTGAGAAATGGAAGTCTAAAGTTTAATTGTAAGGAGGCAGTGTGTGATCTATGGAGACGTCCTGTTCCAAATATAATGTCTGACGTGGTACAAATACTCTGCCCGGTTGCATCACATCGGTGAAAAGGAGGTTAATAAAGGCACTTAGAAAGGATTACTCCATAATTAAACACCCTTAAATCCGACGTGGCCACAAAAACGATGCACTTTTCTTTTTTTTTTTATCTCTTGCATCTACACTTTAATTAATCACCAGCGCTGTAGTCTGCAACATGCCTGTCTTTTCTGGGCAATTTTTAAAAAATTCAAAGTAATAACAAACTGACATTTTTTTTTTTGTACATTGATTGTTCGGTTAACGCGACATCAAAGACAAATGGAAACCCTTCTGAAGATCGAACCTGTGCAATGACTCTTGTAAGCTTACAGTTGTCGGGGACAAAAGCTGCTCAAAGCGGTTTGATGAGAGTACTATTAAAGAGGCTGAAATTCCTTTTTACCAATTACTGAGTGCGATTTATTGGTTGGTATGCACACCAAGTGTATAATAAAATAAAAGCGATTTTAATGAAAAAATGCTGATGAAATTATTCTTTTCACAGGTTGGTGTTCAAGGAAATAAAAGGCCAAAATAGATGTACTGATCGTCGTCATTTCCAATTAAATTGGATAAATTCACTCGTTCAGTGTTAAATTTTATTTGCAGTACAATGGTTTTTCCAACTTGTCACACCGTGTGTGTGTGTGTGTGTGTGTGTGTGTCTGTGTGTCTGTGTCGGACTGTCTGTCTGTCTAACTGGATGGCGCTATGTTATTCAAGTCCCATATGGCTCGGTCACAGTGGGTGCACCAGGTTTAGGCTAGTGTGCACTCTGACCCCCACTGAGGTGTGAAGTGCTTCACAAAGTAAAGGGAAAACCGCGACACACACACACACACACCTTTAGCTGACAGGCCACAGCTCACAGTTACACACATGCTGTTGACAAGCCCTCACCTGGATCCCGAGTCAGTTCCCTGGGGGAGGATCAGTGAAAGTGCAGGGATACATCTGTGACAGGTGACCCAGTTCACTGAGGTTTTCTCACCCTTCACTCACCCCTCCGTTGCCCCTCGCTTTTGGAGGTGCAGTGTCTGGTAGCGTGTGGCGTTTTTGATTCTGTCACCTTCAGCCAAAGTCGGGGGGGGAGCAGGATATTTTTTTGCCTGTAAATACTCTTGTACAATTGTACAGATGCGTGATTTCTTAGACCCATAATTACAATACATGTTAAATTCCAACATTTGATATAAAAATTATAAAAATGTGTTAAATTCCAACCAAGTTTGGATGTAAAAATATATCAAATACTTGATTACCAGATGAGTTTTAATAAATTCTTAAACACATCTACTAGTTTCAGGTTCAGATGAAGCTCTTCCAGCGTGAGGATCAGTAATGTCCGGGCTCCAGCACCTCAGCCAGGTGCATGGCCACCTCTGTCCAGGGGGAGGTGCTCCGCCCCTGGGGGTATCCTAGGCGCTGGACCTCTATGATGTCCTGTGGCTCAAAGTACCGAGGGGAGGCGATCCTGGAAGGGAAGGCTCTGGGGAACAACGCCCTCTCGATGACATCCAGAGGCAGGTCAGGGGCGGGGTGAGGCGTAGTGTCCCACTTTGAAGTGTACTGAGGCTGCCTGCTGCTGCTGTCCCTCCACACTGTGATGCTGTCCCGGAGGTCCGGCACTCTAGGGGGCCTTTCTGGCTGGATGCCCATGAAGATGGTCCACGGCCTGGAGGGTGAGGCTGGAGGTTGATAGGTGGAGGTGCTCCTGTTCTCTTGAGGGGCTACCGGTTGGTGGTAGTTCAATGGGTGCTTGGCATGTTTTGGGTTAGGACTGTTCTGATCTGGTGAGAGGCACTGGGTGTGGTACCGGCTCACCGAGACTCTAGGGGAGAAATCTTTTAGGAGTGGGAGACCTTTCTTGTTCGCCCACTCTGCCACCTTCACATCAATAAGTGTCTGTAAAGAAAACGGAGAAAATGTGATTAGCTTCTTAGATATGGTAGAAAAATGCTGCAAATGTCGTCCAAGAATACATTTTATAAAGCAAGATTTCATTTAGCTGCGTTTTCTTTAATACAATATTAAAACAAGTGTTTTGACGTATAAATAAATAAATATTTTGCTGATTCTGTCACAGTTTTGGGGGTAAATTAACAAACAAACTAACCTTTTTATTGAGTTTATTCATCTTCGCCATATCCACAAGATCACCGTATAAAGCCTGAACTAGCTTCCTCTCCTGCATTTCTTTCTTCTTATCTTTCTGCCACATGCAGTTCTTCAGGTACCTACACGAAAACAAAGTGTTAAAAAAATCAATCAGTGTCAGAAGTTTAATTTCGGTGTGAATTGTTCTTGCAGCCCGTTACCTTGCTACCTTCCTGCGGCACCAGATGCGGGCCAAATCCAGAGGAGTGTGTCCTTCGTTGTCTCGGGCCGACACATCTGCTCCGGCCTGCAGGAGGATCTCCGTGCAATCCAGGAAGCCTTCGGAGGCGGCCAGGTGCAGCGGGGTCGTCCCTGACTTTGTGGCACTGCAAATAACAGTTAAAATGATTAAAAAAAACTCTCTCCCCTCAGCTTCATCATCATTATCTTCAGTGTCATCATAATCATCATCATTACAATCATTATCCCTTGCAGCAGCTATAAACTTTCACAATCATCTCATTTTAATCTGAATTTTACTTTTGTGGTCTGTTTCTATTCTAAGCTTCTCTTTTAAAATATTTAAGTATATATATCCATAAAAGAAAATAAGCCCCCCCATCCTTACACATTGACGTCGGCCCCCTGCTCCAGCAGGTATCTGAGGCACGAGGAGGTGTTGGGAAAGCTCCGGGTGGACAGGACCATGTGAACAGGCCGACGACCCTGGTGATCGCTGCTGTTGATCCACCCAACCCTGGACCCCACAAGGATCTGAATGGAAGCCAGCTGGCCGTAAAGACAGGCCACGTGGAGAGCTGATAGACCCTGAAAGATGAAACACAAAGACAGGTTTACCCCCCAATATTACTCTCTACTACATATTAGCCCACTTTTATAACCTTCGCTTCAACCTACAAGACCTGAACTCAGCCCTTTTTTGACATTTTGACTTATATCAGGAGAAGCAGAGAGGTAACTAATAACATTAACTGTGACTGTATTTCATGTAGGTGCAGTTAGGCATGCTTTCTGGGCTTTCTGGGCTCTCTGGGACCCTTAAATGGAGTGAAGCCATCATGCATGTATGGGTTTAAGCACACGTGGTAATGTGCTTCTAAAGTTAACTTTTAAGGTACTGGCAATTCTTTTGATTACTTCCATTTTGTGAAAGTGTGTGCTTTTAATGAAAAACACTTTAGAGGTAAAAATCTTGATAAGTCTTTGAAAGGAGTAGTTACAGTTTTTACTTTACAGATTTTGTTTTATCCTTTTAAGTGCATTTTAATTTTCACTTCAAGGTGCTCTTCTTCTCATTGAGTACTTCTGTCATACTTTTATACTCAAATTGTGAATGCTGACATTTTATCAGTGGTGGAATGTAATTAACTACATATTGAGGGAAATATTGAACTTTTTACATGCACATTTATTTGATAAATATTGAACTTTTTACATGCACATTAATTTGATAACTGTAGTTCTTTTTTTTTGCAGATTCAGATTAATAATACAAATAAACTGATGATGTATCATTATTATAAGGTAATTAAATTTAGCTCCACCTTCACCAGCTGCATCAATAATTATCAAACAATAATATACATGATTAATTAATATAGATTATTCAGAAATTAGCATGAGTACTACTTTTGTCCTCATTTTGAAGGCTGGATTTACCATCAGTGTATTTCTACATTGAGGTAAGTTAGTACCACTTTTACTGAAGTAAAAATACTTACTACACAATCTGTATTGGTTCTGCACTATACTGGTTATATCACAGGAGTGGACAGCCATTATAAAATATATATTTCACAGTATTATAATGTAAATGAACCAACCTGTCTGTTCACACTGACATCTAGTTTCTTCTCCGGGTGTCCGACAGCTGGGAACGTGTGTCCGTCCGGAGCTTTCCTGCTAACGTTTAAATGAAACCATATTAAAAAAAAAAAACTGCGGTTGTAAAGGCTATTAGACACAAAGAAAGATTTAAGTTAAACAACTTTACTCCTTTTAAATCTTAAAAAAAAAGGTTATACGCTAAACATTGTCATTAATAAGTAAGTTAGCTACCCCCACATTAGCCACAACACAACAACTAAAGAATGGTGGATTTTCGGTGAGTGAACACATTAATGTAACGTTCAAAATAAACAAACTAAAAGCGCTAAAAAAAAACAACAACAAAGATGTATAAACCCTAAAACAGAAAAATATTTACCAATTTTTTCGCCTCTCACGTCTCCTCTTCTCGGGTTTGTTGACAGGTTCCATGGTTGCTATGGAAACGAGGTAACCCGGTAACCAGGAAACGAACCCTGATTTTACGACAATTCAGTCGAGGACGAAGATGTGTTTATTAATTTTAGGGTATGTATTAATTTTACCCCATATATTATTACATAATGTGAACTGACCTGTATTTTATGGGATGTACGGTCTGCCAGCGTGTTTATATTGCGTGGTATCCTATGGGCTACAGGATTTAACACAATTAATGAGGATATAAACCTTCAGGCTATGCAAGGGAATAATTATGTTTGTTTGAGAATAGGAATATATTTTTTATTTGTCTTGGTTCTGTACTGTAGTCATGATACAGCACACAGCATCTAAAATACAGTTTATTCTGTGTCTATTTTTTATTTTATTTTATTAAATTTAACTGAAAACTGAAATAGTAAGTTGAATTTCAGTTTTAAAGTGTGTTTAAAAGAAGTGAACTTTACCTTATTTTGGTTGAAAATAACCAGAGGTTGCAGACGCTCAAACCAGAAAAGAAAATGTTGAAAATTCTGCAGGGACAGACACTTGATATAAGAAAATTTTTATTCAGCAGTCGTATTGAAAATGTTTCATTGATACAGCCTTCATCGGCATGTAATTCCATCTCTTGAATAAAACTAAAAAAAAGCCCACTTATACAGCTTATTCACTACCATGTGTTACGTTTGAGTCAATGTAATAGCTTATCACAGATACAGGCAGATGAGTGGCTGCAGGCACAGCAGAAATGGATACTTCCACTCTCCCGTGTAGTCCACAGCTCTCCCTTCATACATCTCCGGTGTGTTAGTATTGACAGTGAATTAGGATTGGCAGCTTGCACTAAGCAGATCAATCCTGCCGATGCTGCAGAGGCCTCACAGGATCCGTTTGGTCCATGGCACCCTGGACCTGCCGCCACGTGCAAGGCCCATATGAATGGGAACAGTTATATTCTCCATGTCTCTGTGGAGCTGAGGGGTCGATGGGCTCTTCGGGGGCCTGTCTGATCACTGCTATTGACCACTTGACCCCCGACTGAACTGTGAGCATGTGCACTGCGAAGAACAATGTGTGTCACGGCAGAGATGCTATAGTTTGGCTTTAGCGTCAGTTTACAGTATTTACTTTGAATAAATTAGGCATGTCACAGTCCCTTAAGTCTTTTCTGACTTTGTCATTGTCTTTTGGTTTCAATCTCCTGTGAGATGGTAAATCCTAGACTCTACACTACACAATGTGTACCAAAAACATTTAACCCAAATTAAAATTACATGAAACATGAAACTCTTAACTGTATACATTTGCCATTTGCATGCCCCCAGTTGCTCCCTTTTCTGATGCTTTCCACGGAACATATTAAAATACCAATTTATACCAAAATAAATGTGACAAATGTGAAACAAGAAAACCAACTCAGTGTCCACTTACTACTTTCTTCCAGACTAACATTAAGTGGCTTAAAACTCGGGCAGATTTTGTGCAGTTTTGTGACTTCCCCTTTTATTTTCTGTCTCTCGAAGCTGTCATAGTCCAGTGGAGGGTCAAGGACAGGACACGGACCCTTGGCTCTCTGCTTTGAGCGCCAACCCTCCAGAGCCTTCGCCCTTATCACAACACGACCATGCAGCTACTTCGGTGACACACGTGTGTGTGGGCAGAAAGTGAGTAAACCGTGAGTGTGTGAGTGTATGTGCACGAGTGTGTATACTGTACTTGTGTGTGCATGCGAGGGTATGCGGGTTAAGACCGGCACAGCCCTGCTGCAGCCTCAGCGGCTTCCTTCGACCTCAGTCACATGTCATGGAGGTTGTACGGAGCCTTCGTTGTAGAGCTCTTTCATGTTTGACTTTCAGCACAAGTCCCTGGACGACAACACCCGACGTGACCTCTTTCTTCTGACAGTTGTGTGTGTGTGTGTGTGTGTGTGTGTGTGTGTGTGTGTTTGTGTGTGTTTGATTGTCCATGTACTGTCATATTCAGTCTGAATGAAGAGTGCGTGCTCCCTAAAAGCACCAAAACCTTAAAAGCTTTCTGTCATGTGTATTCTGTCGCTCAATTAGCAAGAAATGTAGATTAGAGCAACTGTTTATGTGAGTGAGAGTTCAAAGATGTTCCTCCATCCTACCCTGAAATGCTCATTGCATTCAGATGAATGAAATCTATGTGTGTGTGTGTGTGTGTGTGTGTGTGTGTGAGCGCAGCGAGTGTGCATGCATGCATTAGCTACCACACATCCAGTTGGTGCAGAGCAGATTATCAACGGGCCGATCAGAGATGTCTAAACCTGCTTAGGGCGAGGGTGAAAATGAGATCATGTTCCAGCAGCCCTCGCGCCGGGCTTCTCCCATTGGTCTGTTACATCAGCCAATCACATGCCATCTGTCTTTATTGGTGGCGCAGTAGAAGTTTTTGCTTGGCTAGCGGCACCAGACCAATTGGCTATCAGGTCTTAGTGCACATAGGATGGAAATGAAGTCTTGCGTGCTCTTTTGGCTATGTATAAAATAGTATCCCTTCACATTGGGTTTCGGATAGTATTGGGGATGACAAGGAAGGAGGGCCGTGCAAAAAAGATCACAGGCCAGAAACAAACCAGATACATTGTCCTCTGAGGCACCCTCAGTTTGTATTTTTGTCAGGATTTCACTTCACTTTACTGTAGGGTTTTTTTTTTGCTGCTCTGTGTGTTTGGAAAATGCCGATTTAAAAAAAACATTGAGCTGCCTTTTTAGAAAAAGAAAACTGAACTAATACGCTGCGTAAAAGTTGTTATCAATAAGTGAGAGTTTCAAGTGAGCAGTGAGCAAGGAAGGGATTGAGAAAACAAACAGAGGCAGAAAAGATTAAGTGAGAATGAAGAGAAGAAAGACAAAACAGAGAGAAGGAGACGATGAGGCAAGTGAACACACAGCCTCAATATGCCTTCATATTTGATGAGCACTAAGATGATGGTGCATGCTCTGCTGCGACAGCACACACTGTACTTTGTTGATCTTCATTGTGATGTACAGTGCTATGAAAAAGAATTTCCCCCTAGGGACAATAAAGTCCAACTAACTAACTAAATGATCTACCTTACAAGGACCCTGTGCCCCTGAGGCTTCTGAACTCTGCTTGTGTAAGTGCCCTGATGCCCTCACTTTCCTCCTTCTCCCTCCTCTGGTCCTCCTCCCTCTTTTGCTTCCCCATCTTTTTTGCCTTTTACTCTATCCCTTAGCTCCTCCTTCTTCCCCTCTTTTTTTCCCCCTCGTCCTCCCCTCTCTCTCTCTCTCTCTCTCTCTCTCTCTCTCTCTCTCTCTCTCTCTCTCCCTCGCTCTCTCCCTGTGCCTCATGCTCAGCCAGGCGGCAGCGCGCTAATGCACCATGGCACATTCTGCAGCTCCAAGTCACAATGCGACCAGGCTTTGCGCAGTGACCGCACGGCGACCTCCCTCAGTATCGCTGCACACAGGCACTGTGCTGTACCAGGGCCTGTACAGGGCGAGGATGGAGGCAATGGGTGTGTGTGGGGGGGGTGGGGTGGGGGGGGTGAATGGAGGATGACGGAGAGAAGAGGAGGAGGAGAAGAAGAAGCAGGGTTCTGCCACTGACAGGTATGATCAGATCCAATGATAGTGAGATAAATGGATTGCGAGTACAGCACCCTGAGTCCCCCATCTAAAGACATTTCTGAGACACGTGCGTGCGTATGTGTGCAGTTTGTAGCATGTGGATCACGCCACATGACGAATGCCTCTGTGAGCAGATTATTCAGTGAGTCATGTATGTGGTTTCTGTTATGGCAGAAAGCAAATATTTTTGCACTTGTCGATGACACAACAGCTGAGCCACTGCTGCCGCTGGACATTGAGATTCTCTCAACAATGATTGAAAGCGTTACTCCGTCAATGATCGTTGAGGGAGGGAGGAAAGGAAGTGGTTATCCTGGCTGTTTCTCTTGCTGCTGCAGGGGGTTCATATCCTCTTTTTTTTAATGTCTAATCTCCTTTCTCCGTGTCTGGCCATTCTCCTCCATCCCTGAGGTCTCAACAGACACCCCGTCATCACACCTTCACATGATCCCGAGCTTTTTTCCACGTCCCTCGGACACGTTCTTCTCGATCCTCACAGTTCAGCAGAAATAACCAGAGGGAAGGAGAGAGAGATAAAAGCAATGAGATAGTGAGAAAAAGGAGAGAGGGAGGCCTTAAGGTCAATGCTACAAAGGAAGATAGATATGATGTGTGTATATAGTTTGTCCATTCATTGGAGGAGATAGTAAAGCTCAGTCTCGCTTGTGGCAGACCTGTCCTGTTTTATTTATGTGTAGGTCGTGATTACTCTCAAGAAGGCAGCACGTCTCTCCTCCATCAAACCTGAGGGGGGACTCTGTCCATCTGTTGGGTGTCACATCCTTCAAGCCGGCTTGCCATAGGCTGTACACCTTGACATCAAACTCCACTCTACTTAGACTCATTTCCCACTAATTTTTAACAGTTGTTGGAATAAAACAGATGCTCTGGATTCATTGTGGTAGAGATACTCTGTTAACGAGTGAAAGGCATTATAGTAATATAGTTACATGCTCAGCAGCTATGAACCAAATTACTACCTCCAGATCTAAAGGATTAATCTTATGAATGTCACACATCGGTAAACCAGTAGGCTCTGAGGCGACCGGCGACATCTGTAAATATAAAAAAAAAGCTCTTCTGAAGTTACAAAAAAAGAAGAATTCTTATTTTCAGGTCATTATAAACGAATTAAAGCATGGTTATGTGTATTATATTCCATTTCTGCCCATAGATCCCCCTAAATCTTACACTGGACCTTTAAGACAATAAAAACTATCTATGAAGCCAACAGCAAACATCAGAAAGTAACCAATATTTTGTATAATAGCAAAGGGGTTTTTATAACAATCAATTAAGTCTTAAATTGTAAATTTAAATAATTTGTTAATAAATGGATCTTGGACCAGATGCTCTGCAGCAGCTTTTCCAGGAGGTCAGGGGTCAAATGGCCCATTGGAGCGGTCTACTTAATAAACAAAAGAACTAAAAAGACAAAGCTGGAAGAGGATAAACAGCTGTCAGAGAGACTGTCATCTCGAAGTAAGTTATCATTATAGCTCAAACTAAAGCATTAGTAAAGGATTTACTGACATTAACAAAGTAATGAGTTACATCTTATACTTTACATCCGCACTTTCCTAATTTACAACCTGCATTAAAGTTAGATTAATATCTTTAAAAGGTAGCTGAAAGTCATCAGGTCATCTAATGTGATACACCACACAAATACACACTTTCTTTGTAAGTGTATAGAAGAGAGGTGACAGGAGAAGAGAGGACTGGAGTATGCTGGGGACGTTGTAATCACAGTATACAGTATGTATAAGACCATCTAAGCGCCTCCATTTTGAGTTTTAAGCATGGAATATGTAATGAGACCATTGTGAGCTTCTGCAACATTCACCAATAAACCCATTTCCATGTGAGAATCTTATAAACAAACTTTCTTTATTCTTATTTAAAATATCTTCAGAGCTTCAGTGACTTAGAAAAAGCACTTTTGAGTGAATATTTCCTTCTTTCCTCCCTTGAACCTCATGGACTTTGTCGCAACCTCAGAGTTTACAGGTTCAGCTGTGTGAACTCACACTCTGGTTGTGTGTAAAGCTGCGAAGATCAACCGTTCAGCAACACCATTAACAAGGTCAAATTTGGTTGAATTTATTTATTTATGTTCTTTTTCCAACGCCTTTCTGTCAGGAGATTGCAGTGATCTCTGCTTTGCACTATTAACCTGCACATGAACATAAAGCTTTGAGAGATGAACTAAAACGCAACCACTGCGACACACGCTAATGCTGCATGAGAGTGCAGTTACATTTATATCATATATGCGTTGCATGTGTGTGTGATTGCTTTCCTTTACATGCAATTGTGTTGCCACTGACACTGTGACCCTTTCTAACATGGCGGTCTCTCCTCCTCTATCCAGGTCACAGAGCATTGGCTCATCCTGGTTCATCAGCAGGGCAGAGCTCCACAAAACCCATTGTCCCTGTGACACGCATCCTGATTATATTTATAAAATGTGGTGTTGGTAGAGATAACACGACATAAAAATGCAAATGCCATTGGGACAGCGATACCACAACAGCTTCGGGACAGTCAGCCACTTTATAATGTGTACACACTGTGCCTCGACAAACATGATACGACAGGAAGTGAAAAGCACACACATACACACTGGCCCGCACCCAGTGTAAATGGTATTTTTTGCCTGAGGTTTTTTTATCTATTCAATTAAAGTGCTTGTATTTTGCTCATTTTGTTAAGCCATGGAGCTGGAATGAGGCCAAAATCAACACAATAAGCAGGGGAGCGGGGTGGAGGGATTTATCTTTCAAACAGATGGATGGATAGACAGCTGATCTGATGATCTCCTCCAGAAAAACTGACAGTTACTAAACTCTCCGGAGGCGTACAGCAGCCACAATCACCTAATTACCACCTTAAATAATTCAGCATTGTAGGAGCAACATGCAGAAACATTGAAATCCATTTGGACCAACACGACTAAAAGGATGTAGCCTCATACCTTGTGTATGACATGTTGATCTCTGTATTATTGATGCTGAGTGTTTTATCAAGCTCTACTGACACTGAAATAG